TTAAAAGTGAAGCAATAGCATGAATTTGTTGGCCTTTGGAGAGCAAGAAAGAATGGGGAAGGGACTTCCGCTTGGGAAGAAAAGCTGAAAGGGGCTCACCTCTAGTGGAAGGCCGTGTGCCCTGTTAACAGGCAGGAGAGGCCAGTGCTCATGGGGTTGCTGAGGTGGGCTGGGGCCTGGTTGATTGTTGCCTCAGTTCTGGTTTCACAACTCCAGAGGTCCTTGTGGCTCTGTCCACTTACGGCGTGGGTCCCAGGAGGGCCCTGTAAGTGGAGACAGGGACCTCAACTCGTCCACCTATGCACTAGGTTGTAGGCTCGCTGACTTTCGTCACAGAGGATTTCAGGCTGCTTTAGTGAGGGCATTAGACAGGTTTAGTAGGCAGAATTGAAGTGCATTTTCAGAGAAAATAGAGTGTGGGCTTGCGGGGAGAGGCACGTCTTGGTCTGGGGCTGGGTGTTATGCGGGCCTGGGCATCCTGAGGACATGGAGGGAGTGTGCTCCTGCCGTGCCAGGCTGCCCCGCGTGGGCCCGGTGAGAATGCAAACCAGCTTCATGCACAGGTGGGAAGTTAGAGGAGCACTGCCATCTCCTAGAGCAGTAAGACCCTTAGGGGTCTTTGGCGATGAGTCTCCTGGAAGGGAAAAGGCACTGTGACCTTGGAGAACTTTGTGTTCTGAAGCTTCAGTTTTTCTTAAAAGTACAATTTAGAAATTATGATTTCCCCGTCTCCTTTCCGCCCATTTTTATTTTTTCCATGCCCCTCATTCGAGGGGCAGTCTCGTTGCCGTGGATGACCTTCCTTTCTGGGGGGCGCGTGGCGTGGAGGCACTCCTGCGATCCAGTGGACCTGTGGCTCAGGAGTCTGCCCATGCCATTGGTCAGATGTTCCTGCAGATCTCCTGTTGGTGCCACTATCTCGCTTGAAGGGGATGAGGTAGGTTATATCAATTCAGAGCTAATAAATCTGGTGTTATCAGCTTTTAGACAGCGACTCCTTAAGTGATTAACATGACTGCCTGCAAAGGTGAGCAGAGATCTCATCCGCAGCCTAAGCTAGTAAAGGAGAGAGAAACGAAGTGGAGGGTGAGATTTCAAGCTTTCTGCTGCCTTGGTTACCCACTGGGCATCTGCAGGCCCAAGTGAGCAGTCACTGTTTTTAGTAGAATCAGTGTGAAGTCCCCAACTCTCTCAGAAGAAAACACAAATCGTGTTTTCGTGAGCATCAGGTCGAGGGCCCAGGAATTTCTCCTCCGTCCCCCTGTGCTGATCCCAGCAGCTTCCTCTTCTCGGCTCGGCTGTCTACTCTTGGGGACACTCTCAGCGAGGAGGGTGAGATGGTCTTGGGGAGTCTGGGGTCGGGAAGTGTTTTGATGAGTGCCGGTCCCAGCTGGCCCAGGAGCCCTTGCGCTTTGTCCCGTTGTCCTGAGTGTGTGGGGCACTGAGCTTGCTGACGCCCGTGTCCCTGTGACTGTCAGTGACCACTCCAGGGAGGCGTTCCCCCGAGACGAGACCTACCGTGTGCGGCTCTCAGCCTGCCTGTGGCTTCCTCCCGCCGCAGACTGCAGAGCCATCAGCACTGCGCTGCGTGTCCCGGTGACGGATCCTGGGGTATTCTCCATAAAAGAAAAGCTTTTAAGATTTCAGATACCACAAAGTTAGGTTACACTTCTCAGGATAGCAAATAGACCACATTTTGGGGAGGGATTCTAGATAAATAAACCACATTTATCCAAAAGTAGTGAAAACGTCGCCTCGAGACAGAAAAATTCCACAGACCAGGGTTCGATCCCGGTCTTGCCCTAGCAAACTGTGTAGCCAGAAGGAAGCCGTTAACCTCGTTAACCTCGGGGCCTGTTTCCTGCCGGGCTGTGCTGCTGAGAGGCGGGAGTGAGCTCAGGGACGCTGCTTAGAGAGGGGAGGAGACCCTGGGCGGGCGCTCGCCTGAACCCGAGCGAGTAGAAGGCCCTCAGCTGAAGACGGGGAGGGCAGGGCGCACTGAGCTGCTCTTAGGGATGGGAAACTCTTGAGCAGTGAGTGTTCAGCCAGGAGGGGGGCTTTGATAGCAGCTCCACAGGATAAAGGTGTGTCCGATGCGATTTGTGCAGCTTTTAATTACTATTCATCCACACTCAGCCAATCTGCAAACATTAGAAGAGTCGCCTGGACCGCGCATTGTTAGAATTGAGTGGGCTGTGGAAGCTGGACATCACAGTGCTCCTGTCCGGGCTTGCTTCTTCGAGCGCCCTGTCAAACGTCCCACGACTTCACCCCTCATCCCTGACCCAGGAGCCAGTGCTGAGTGAGAACAGGATGAGCGGTGCTGCCGGAAGAGCCACCTCGATCCCCAGTGGAGAGACCCGGCATTACAAGCAGATCCGCCTGTTCAGGCCGCCGAGGTAGCTGACTAATGCAGCCCGCTCTGCAGGCAGTGTGTTTAACATTAAGGGAGAAACAGTTTTTTCAGGGGCAGGGCACCTTCGACACCAGGTAGGTGGCTGCAGGGAGTTTTCCTGACAGGACGAAGCTCTGTGAAGAGAGAGCCTGTTCTGAGCGTGGACTCCTGAGTGCTGTGTGCTGGGCTTTTAGATGAGTGAAAATCCAGGACCTCCAGCAGTGATGAGAGAAAAGAAAGCAGTACAGAGTTCTAGAGGACATCCAGCGTTTCGTGGAAAATAACTGATGTTTTGACTTTTAGGGAGAGAGATTCCTATTGCCATGTGGCAGAGCAAACAGAGGAAAGCCTTTCTGATTGTAGAAAAGCATAATCCAGGGAAAGTGCACTCATGCAATTTTTGTGTGTGTCAAGAATTAAAAAAAGAAAAGAAAGCTGTGATGATCTGACTTTAGGGGGGTAATCAAGGAATCAAGATTCAGTGTGCCCAGTGTGTAATAGCTAAAGCTTGGAAACAGCCCAAGTGCACATCAACTGGAGACTGGATAAAGAAGAGGTGATTTAAAAAAAATAAAGTGGAGTACTACTCAGCCATAAAGAATGTGAAACTAGAGACATTTATAGCTAAATGGATGCACATTGAGGTCATACTCTTAAGTGAAATAAATAGGACACACATGTGTAAATACCAAATAGTTTCTCTGGTGTGAGAAACTGAAAGTGTAAATAAGGATCAAAATGTATAACAGATAATGTGAAATAGGAAGAGGAGGTCTAAAGGGGAAGAGGAAGTGGGAGGAGTGGAGGAAAGGGAAGAAGGGAAAGGAAAAAAATATGAGAAAAGGAAAAAATGGAAACAAAGCCTTTGTAAATAGGGAAGGGTGGAGGGGGTGAAGGGAGGGCAGGGGAAGGGGAAAAAATAAGAACAAAGATGCATCATGTTCAGGTACAAGCACCCAATGATGAATGTAACTATATTTGATACCTAAAATGAACCAATAAAATTAATAATAATAAAAAAGATTCAGTGTGCCTATCTTCTGTACAGTGGGAGGTGCTCTGCAGAGTTCAAAGACAAGTAATCGAGTCAGGCCAGTGAAGCCAACACCCTAGAAGAAACCAGCCGGGCGGGCTCCTTTGCTTCTGTCTTCAGAATGAGGTCCCAGCATCTTTGCCTGCTGTTCAGGTCTCCTGATCCACTCCCCACCTGCAACAGCAATGCTCTCTCCAAACCCAACTTCTTCCTCCTTTCTTTCAGACCATGACTTTGGCTTTATGAGACTTCAGACACCCAACTCTAAACCCATCATACTTCTGACCCATGAAAACTTTGGCCTAACAAATAGGCATTGTGTTAAGCCACTGTGTTTCTTTGTTAAGGGAGCTGCAGAAAACTAATGCACTTTTTAAAATCTAGAGAAATCTATAGTCATCTCATTGATCTTATTCTTGATATCGGCACTTTTGTTTTCTCACTTCATGTCCTATTCAGATTGGTTAAAAGTTTATCAATGTTGCTACTTTTCTCAAAGAGCCAGCTTTTCATATTATTGCTTTTCCCTAATATCTTTCCATTTTCTGTTCATTGATTCCTGCTTCAATCTTTATTATTTCTTTTCTTCTGCTTATTTTGGGATTCATTTGCTCTGCTAAAAAATGAGCAATTTAAACAAAAACTTCATGAAAGAAGATATATGGGTGGAATAAGTACATGAGAAGACGCTCAGTATGGTGACTCATTAGAGAAATGTGACTTAAAACTGTAATAAACACCATCTCACACCCATTGGAGTCTCTAAAGTAAAAAAGACCTAAAGACCTATCATGTCTTGGTGAAAATGTAGAGGAACTGGAATTCTCAGGCACTGTTGGTGGGATTGTAAAATGATTTTGTAGTGCAATTTTATAGTTTTTAAAAACATAAATGCTTCATAATATTAGCCAATCATGTGATCCAGCCATCCCATTGTTACATATTCCCTGAAGGGGACTGAACACATATGCATTTACAAGCAGCTGTGAATGAAAGCTCATCGTGTGTTCATTTGTAACACCACACAGCAGCATAACTCACATGTCCCCCAGTGGGTGAACCCTACGTACATCGTGGCATAGCCATGAAGTGGTGTACTGCTGAGCAGTGGAAAATAACAAGCTATTGACCCACATACCAACACTGAGGAATCTTAAACTAATTATGCTGAATGTTGATGTTCCTGTCTTGTTGATCTGTCCATTGAGAAACAGTCAGACAAAAAATCCATACTATGTGATTAATTGAGGATCTATACTTCTAGGGGATGTAGAAAATGGAAAGAAGTCTATAGTGACAGAGGAGATGGGTGCTTACCGGGGCTGTGAGATGACAAGGGCTAGACAGACCCTAGCACGGCACACACGAACTTCTGGGGTGGTGAATGTGCTCATGGTCTGGATCAAAGCGTTGGTCCCATGAACATTCGTGTAAGTCAAAATAGAAATTGTACATTTTACACATATGCAGCTTGCAGTGTGTCAGTTCTGCCCACTAAAGAATAAATCAGAGAACAAAAATTAATTGGTGTGTTAACAAACTATATCTGTATGTATATTACTTATATTTCAGGATGGATTGCTATTCTGGGTGCCATCTGGTTACTGATTTTAGCTGAAGTCCATGATTTTGAGATAATTCTACACAGAGTGGAATGGGCAACCCTTCTGTTCTTTGCAGCACTCTTTGTTCTGATGGAGGTAAGATTTTAGAACTTCTACAATCTGATCTCTTATCTGAGTTTTATATTTTGTATTTTATTTGGTGAATGAAGAAGGCCTAAGTCTGTAAGACTTTCTGTATATTCACTAAGTAGAAAATAATGGAGGTTGTGATTGGACTATTACATGTTAACCAACTTTTACTTCAGCCATCTAAATATTTCTGATAAAACTATTTATTGGGTTGCTGTTTTTTTCTTGCTTTATCTTTGTGGCTTGTAAAATTGTTCTAATTTTATTTTCTGTGAAGGAAACTGAAGCATGGAAATGCTGATTACTCTGATTTGAACATGACACATTGTATACATGTATCAAGTTATCATACTGTCCTTCATTAATGTGTTCAATTATTATATGTCAGTAGAACTTGCTCCAAGTGGGTTTGCAGGAAAATAACTTGTTATTTTGTTTAGAGCCTAGTATTACCTTGATAACTTACTTCATTGTGTGTAACACTTGAGTGAATACGGCCATGGTATCATGGAAAAGCCTACATCATAGAAGAGTGAAGAATATGTACTGTTTCAGTTACAGTTGCTACTGCAACTGTACATTCTAATCTTGATACTTCACTTATAAACTTGTACCTCACTCAAACACAGAGTTTTACTAACGCAGAAAAATACTGCTCCCCAAAGCTCATGTCCCAAGCATTGCTTCTTTGCTTTCCTTGTGTTTGGCATGTATTATAACTTCATTTTCTTTAAGTTAAAATATTTCCTAATTTTCTAATGTAATTTCTTATTTCCTAATTTTCAATGTAATTTCTTTTTTAGTCATAGATTATTTAAAGCTTCTATGTATTTCTTTTTTATTCATAGATTAAAGTTTCAAATATTTGGGAATTGCCTATGTTTGTTTCTGTTTTTATTTTTAACTTGATTCTGTTGTACTCACAGGGCATACTTTGCATGATTTCAATTCTTTTAATTTTATTGAGACTTGTTTTATGGTCACTACATATTTAGTCTGTTTACTTGGGCTTGGAAATTATGTGTGTCCTGCTGTTGTTTGGTGGAATGTTATATAACTGCTGTATGCTATGCTCGTTAATGTATTTAAGTCCTGTGCATCACTGATATTCTAATTGTTTTATCAGTTATTGACAGTGAGGTATTGCAACCTCTAACTCTTGGAGTTCAGTGTGTAGTTTTCCTAATACAGTAATTTTGTTTTTACTATAATAGCCATTCCAGTGGCTTTTTTGGTTGTTTCTTTTTGTGTACTTTTTGCATAGCATATCTTTCCTCATACTTTTACTTTCAACCTATTTGAGTCTTTCAATCTAATATATGACAGCAGTAATCTCTCATAGAAAACATGTAGTTGGATCAAATTTTTAAAATATTCACTGAGTGGATATCTGCCTATATACCTAATTGGTATATTTATTCAATTTATCTTTGATGTAAATACTGAGAAGGTAGTATTTACATCAACATTTTTTCTATTTTAAAAAATTATCTTTGATTGTGTCTTTCCTTGAATTCTCTGTTAAGGTGTTTTTCTCTGTTACTATTGCACTTAGCTGTTAGGGTCCAATAATTTCCTAACTGACTGATCTTTTGTTTCAAGACTTAATTCTTTTAAGAACTTCTATAAGCTCACAATAAAAGGAAGAACAGAGTTTTCCTGTACGCCCGACCGTTATACATGCATAACCCCTCCTATTATCTACATTACCCACCAGAGTGGCACATTTCTTAAAACTGATGGACTTACGTGGACATTTCATCACCAAAAGCCTGCAGTTTACGCTAGGGTTCACGTGTATGGCTATGCATCCTATGGAAAATGTTCAATGGGTTTGACGCGTGTGTAAAGGGACGCCCCCACCGTTACAGCGTCCAATACAGAATGGACTTCCTCTCCTACAAATGCCGTGTGTCCCGCCTATTTATCCTTCCCTCTTCCCAACCCTTGGCAATCACTGATCTTTTTACTGTATCCATAGTTTTAGACTTTCCAAAGTGTCCTAGAGTTGAAATTATACAGTCCATACCCTTTGCAGATTGGGTTCTTTACTTAGAAATATGTATTCAAGCATCTTCCTTGTCTTCTCGTAGTTAGCAGCTCATTTTTTCAGTAATGAATGATATTCCACTGTCTGGATATCCCCCATTCATTCCTCCACTCATCTACTGAAGGGCATGTTGGTTGCTTTCCAGTTTTGACAATTTCAGCTACTATAAACATACATGTGCAAGTTTTTCTGTGGACATAAGTTTTCAGTTCCTTTGAGTTCAATTCCCCTGAGCATCTTTTCATATGTTTATTTGCTTATTTGGTGCAGCTTCTTCAGTGAGGCACCTGTCAGTCTTTTGCTCATTTTTTTAACGAGCAGGTTCCCTGGTGGGAGGAGCAGTCTTTACTCTTTCGCTTCCTTCTCTCCACCCTACTGTGGTGGCAGACTTGCAGTCCACAGTATGGGAGCTCTTAGTGGTTTAGCAGGATCAGGCCAAGAAGAATCGAGAACACACTCGGAGGTTGGAGGCAAGTGTACAGCTTTATTATGCATGCTGATTGGGGGTTTCTCCACAAAGTGATCGGCCTGGAGCTAGCAGTGAACAGGGTTTATATGGATCAAGGGAAGAGGGGTGGGGATACAGAAGCAAGGCACTTAACCTCAGTTCACTGGTTGAGGCAGTTACACTTAGTTTACATGATTGGATAGAAAAGTACACTGGAGTTTATCTCATTTGCATACAGCAGGAAAGTAGGGACTGGGTCATCTTGAGGATACAGACTTCCTGAGAACAAAGGACAGTGCAGGAGGACGTGCCCGCCACCTCAGATGTGTGTTAGGTGTGGGATGGAGTACGAGCTGCGAGTGGCTCATTGTCAGGTCAGCTCGCTGCAGGCAGCACTGTTTGCTCAGGAGTCGTTCTTCCCGCTCACTACAACAGCCAGGGTGAGGGCAGTCGGGCCCCCAGCATTCTTGGGGTGACCTCCCACGGGTAAAACTTACACCTTATGAGGGGTAGCTGGTGAGGAGCAGAGCTGCCGTGATTTCTGGCTAACCTCCTTGAGCCGGGCTCTGCACTGGTGCCAAAGCCTGAACTCCCAGAAGCATGGTAGTCTTGACGATGAGGCGGGGGAGGGGGTCCTGACTCTCTGGGCAGGCCGGTGGGGAAGAAGGAATGGCTTGTAGCTCAAGGGCCATGAACTCATTCTTCTGACCAAGATTTGATAGACCTCCTGAATTAATGTCGTTTACTGGCTGTACATCCTTAGGAAAATTTCCAGAGGGTTTTATTTTTAAAAATAATCTTTGCTCTCTCCCTCTCTTTTCCTAAGAAACCAATCATGGTTGTTTTGTTGGGAAAGTAGGGTTGCAGAGCTCCTCCTCCTTTGTTCATTTCGAAGTCCAGTTCTCCACATTTCTTCTTGTTTGTTTCTTTGTTTTTCCTTCTAAGGTCCACGTTTGGTGATTTTCAAAAGCTAGTAATAATTCCGAAGCAACATGAATTATTTCAGCAGCTGTGTTTTCCTTGAGGGGCACTTTAAAGTTTATTTATCCTGCTCTATCACAAAAAAGTGGTCCACATCAGAATAGAATCGATCATCTTGGGTCTTTAAAATTGGAATGTTTCAGAAATGCAGTGATGTTTCCAGCACTTTTCTTCCTGTCTGTGAGTGCTTATATACGTTGTCTGGGTAACTCCTCCTGATGTTCATTTTGGTTTTATATTTCTCCCAAGTTGGCAGAGTACTCAGTGTCTGTTCCAGCAGCTGCGTGGTCTCCTGGCCCAGGCCTGTCCTTCCTCACTGCCTAGGGCCACCACCTCTTCGTAGAAGGTGGGTGTGAGAGCAGGAATAGCATTTTGAGGAGAGCTGCATGATGTCCATGTTCTTGGATCTTTAATGTATTTCTAGATCACTTTAGACTTCTGAGCTCTTTATTTTTTTCTGTATACAGGTATCTTCTTTATAGCTCATTTAATTCTCTCCAATTACTTCTTAATGTTTTTCTCTTTTATCTGTACTAACCTACACAATTAGAGGAGCCGAAGTAGGCATATTGATTTAGTTACCTTGACACCAGGAAAGGCTGATTATATCTGTTTCTTCTCTTTATATTCATTACTATCCTGCAGAATCCTAGTGATAAAGGTCAGGGAGTTTCTGCGTGTAAGCATTACATTGGGACAATCTGTCTACGTGTTTCCTATCTGTAGCCAATAGTAGAGCTACATGGAGCATTGATTATATTCATCTTAGTAAGCCAGAATATTATTTTGTGTAATTTAGTAATATTGATTTAAAAAACCTCTGGCAATTATAGGGATATAGTTTCCCCAGAAAAAGAGATAGAAATTTCATTTGTGCCTGAAATTAATGTCAACAAAACCAGCCCAGGAAGGTTTCTACTTTTTGATAATTAAAGCAAATTCTGAATAGGTGTTGTTTTGGGCAGAATACGGAAGCCCGTCCTAATGACTGCCCTGTTCTCAACACCTATCAGCAGTCGTGAAAACCAGCAGGCAGCTGAACTTACTGTGACTGCAGTTCGAAGGCTGCGTTAAGCATTGGAGGAGCTGTGCTTTACAGGAAGTCCTGAATAGTCTTCATTGACCGCATCTCCTGAAGTGTCCCCTGAAGAAGCCAGTTCAGATGTTGCCTTCCCAGCACAGCGTGCAGGCACAGCACCCACTCTGCAGGACCCTGACGCAGGGCAGTTGCTTGGACAAGACGCTGTGGCCATCCTTCCTCACATAGGAAAAGCACCGTTAGCCAGTGAGGACTCGGTGCTTTCATCGCCGTTATTTAATTCCCAAATACTCCCGTCCTTCCAGAGCTGGTCCTCATGTTGCCTTAACATCCTCAGCCTCCGCCAGACCTCAGTGCCATGGATCCAGCCCCTGGCACACTGGTGGGAAGGGTGAGGACTCTCGTGGGTGTCGTGGGGGATCTGGGAGCAATGCCAGGTCCTGGGTGACTTTCCGTTCAGGGAGCCCAGTGACTGAAGTGTCAGCTTT